CCCTTCCAGCCCTAATGTCTATGAAATCTATGAAATCACAGAATCATTAATAAAAAAAAAGCAGAAAATACAAAAAGAGCTAACCCACTGGGAGTCATACCTTTACAGAAGAGAAATGGCATGATTATTTGCTAAACTCCAAAGGAATGAGTTTATAATTATTTCTTAAAGCAGGAGGAAAGTGATGTAAGCTGTGGAGCAGAGAACAAAGGTTACAGCGTAAAACAGGAGACAGGAGTCCTGTCAGAACCTCCTGTTAAAATGCAAAAACATAGAAGAAAGCAAACCATTGATGTCCAAATTTATTCTCTCAATGCCTGCTTTGTTCTCTTATTTAAACAAAAACAAACATAAAAATGCAGTTGTCTGCTCAGACTTGAAAAAAGGGACACTGGCCTTAAGACTTTAAGGCAGCATTTGCATGGTTTTCCCAAGTCATCTGTTTATAGCTAGGCTGCTTCTCAAAACAACGCTAGATGTAGAGATAAGTCTAGCCTCCCCCAGTAAACATAATAAAAATGCATAGCCCACATTGGGATCCATCTGCAAGCCTTTCCCATAGTGGGACTACTGTACAGGTAGTCCAGGAACAGAATTTGAAAACATCCATGGGATACTGGTAAGCCTTTACCAAATACCCATAATCATTTCTTAAATTTAATTCTTTTCAGGGGTAGAGGAAAGGGCAAAGGACGAACATTACTGATTTACTAAATGGTAAATGGTTTCATTATTTTGTTTAAAAGGACACATTCAACTCTAAAGAGTCGCTCCTGTGAATCACTACTCTGAATCTAAGTTACTTCTCTGAAGTAACAATTCAGAGAAGAGAAAATCAGCTTTTTATTCCTACTTTGTACAATGACTATACATGAAGTGCTATCAGAGTGATATGCCTTTGCCTTTCAACACCAGCAACTGACAATAAAAGAGCAAACAACAACATGAAGTAGAAAAACACAATCCAAAAACTACAAAAGCTGACACATGTCCTATGACTTGTCATAGGACACGAAATTATTCTAAAGTCAGTTTCAGAAATGCTGCTGATGAATTAACTGTCTTCTGCTTGGTGAAAAGCAAATGTAACCCTAGAAATGCATCTGAGGACTTCTTAGAGAATGACATTGCCTTCAGTGCAGCCAGGTCATTTCAAAACACTTAGGGCCCAGACTCCCTTCACTTACATGTTAGAAAGAGTGTAGTTTCATCCACTCGGACTGTCTTTGGTTTGATGCACAGATCCACACTGGCTGTATCTAGGCTGCGCTGATTAGTCTTGGCATTGTAGCAGGATGCTGAGCGGCAGTGATCACGCAGCCACACATAGTCAAAGCGCATCAGGGTATCTGCATACCTGAGCTCTGGGAAAATATTTAAAAGATTATTTGGTTGAACAAATTGGAACCAGACCCCCTCAACACGCAACCCCACATACACAGGCTATAAAGTGTATTAGCACTTATTTTTAACTATTTCATAAGTTACAATCATCTCCCAGAT